TTAATGCTGACGATTCCACTGAAAGTGAAATCTTCAGCTGGGTCTAATTTCACTTGCACTTCGATGTCGTAGTGCGACGGGATGACGTTCAGCGGAAGACGGAAATTTTGCGCGTTTGTCGACACTGTGATCAACACAGCGCAAATCAGCGCTTTTGCGAAATGCATAATTACAGTCCCCTTGACTGTTTTCGTCATTGGAATTGAGCAGAGAGGCAATGGCTGAAATTTAATGTCGAATTAACACCATGTAAAATACTTCCCAGTGTAATTTGTTGCAGCACTGGACAAACTGGGTGCGTCTTGAGATTCTCCGCCAATTTTCCTTTGATGGTTGAGTGCTGGTGATTGAAAGTGGCATTTTAAACGAGTTTTTTTTAACGTACTTTGAAAGATGTCGAAGTTTATATTTCTAGTTTACTCCTATAGCAGAATGATACGCTCAAAATCACTTTTTATAGAAATAAATCTGTAGTATACACAAGTATTATAATGGAATATTTCCAACAAAGCACATTTCAAAGCTTCAAATTTTTAAAAGCTTATAAAATTGTTCAATATATAAAATATTAAATTCCCCAAGAATTTTGTGAAAACCAAAAAGTAAGAGTAAAAGAAAAAAACTTGTGTGGGCAGTGTTACTTTGGGAATTCCACCTGTATCTATAAACATACTCATTGTCTCCAATTGTCACACTCTCCAAAAGTTTCAAAAGTTCCCTGTCTCATATTGTCCCGGACTCAAATTTTCCCTTTTTCAAATTTCCCCTGTCTCAAATTTTATGTTTCAATTTGTCCGTTTTCTGTTTCTGACACATATGCATTCCCAACAAATTTCGAAATCCTGGTAAAGCAAATTTTAACTGTGTTCTATAATTCACATCTTGCATACACATCAATCATCATGCATGTTTGTTTGAAAATTCAGATTTTGGCAGGAAAACACAGCACACGGCGAAAAAAGAAAGTAATTTGTAAAAGTTTTGAATCGTCCCATACTTCTGGTTTCAGTCAGCACGCAAAATTTCAAATTTCGTGAGATCACGTCACACTCTTGAATTGCATTTGAATATACTTGTACTGTACTTGTACATGCTATTCTCCTTTTTGTTTTGGGGCACCTGTTACACCACACATCCTCGTTTAAACGGTTTCAAGCATGCTATTCATTGGAGGAAAACTGTTTTTTTCCCTTGGTTGAACTGGGTAAATAAAGATAGCTTTTTCAACACTATAGTTTGGATGTGAAATACGCATTATGAAACTCGAAAGGACACTTGGTATTCTTTGCAACAGTCATTTTCATAACATATTTTCTGCTGACTGCCAACAGTCCTTTAACCCCTCCTCCTCAAGTCTCTGTCAAGATTCTCATCAAAAGAGCACAGAGGAAAGATAAGGCGATCTACGTAAAGAATCAAGTGCGAGATTGATATCAAGGACTCTTTGACTTTGTGATGAGGGATAAAATATTTGACAAAAACACGTACATATAAAACGAACAGTTTTCCACAAAAAGGGTCCATTTTTCATTTCTTCGTCGTGCAAATGTTCGCAGGCGACTTTATAAACGCACGAGAAATGTCACGATCATCCACGCTTTGAAAATGATGCTTTATGATTTTCTGATTATCCATTTTACCTTCAGATATTCATCAATGAAAAGAAATAACCTGCATTTCGGTTATGGGATCACTGCCACAGTGAAAACTGATAAACACACAAACAGCTCAAACAGTGTGACAACTAACAAAGGGACAACTCACACAGTTTTTTGGTATATTTCTTTTTTAAATTTAGGTTCTGGCAAAAATGTATACTTTCTTGCGTCTAGATTCTCTTTCATCCTAGATTAATTGTATGCATTTGCAAGATGGGGTTGGAGAACATAATTTCTTTTATACTTGTGTTTTGATTTTTTCATCGATGAAAGTAGAAATAACTGAGCATTTCCATTTATTGATATGAGGAAAAATGAAGAACGCAGTGAATTCGTGATTAAGTGGATTAGCCAGTAATTCCTGTAAAGCACGATTATGTTGTTGGAGTCAGTTTCACCATCAGTCATTCGTCCAAAAAGTCATTTTTGCAGCAACTAATGAGCGTAAAATCGCCTTCACCGTGTCATTTCTATAACAGGTATTTCATTTATGGTGTCCAAGACATATAAACATTGCTAAAAACATCAATTCTGAAATTTCTGGTGCGGGTATTTGCGAGATGAGAGTCGCTTTTTCAGGTTCTGCTTCTGCTTTTCAAAGAGTTTGTTCCAAAATTCTTCGTGTGACGAGATACTGAAAAAACCGAAGACACATGTAAGACATAAAATCGGATGATTGTAAAAGAAATATGTCTTATGAAAATATATTTACAATGCTCTGGTTGCATTTGGTTCTTCCAGGTGCTTTGAGAAATTCCTCAGGAGTTCCAAGACGCTTTCGCGTTCAGGAGTCATTGCCTCTCTGGTTTTCAAGGCATTGAATTCGGCATTTTTTACAATTTCCTTTATTCGACTCTGCAGAGGAAAACAGGCATCTTTTGTTATAATCTGAAAGAGGAGGAATCTTTTTAGGGATGTTTTAAATGTCTGAAAAATTCAGCAGATAGTATTCAGAGTAAGCGCTCCGCAAAAAGCATCTCTAAAATTAACCCTTCATGCGGAAACGTGGAATTTTAACGATTTGCTTGTGAAATTAAAAAAAAATATATACAGGTTTCCGTGCATGGTGAAGATCGACGTATTCCATGGAAATGATTTTATGTGCCTGATACTGTTTTTGAAAGAAAATGATCGGATATGGGAAGAGACAGCGACAGACTTTTGAAAAGGATTCGGTCGTTGTTTGAAAACTCAGAAGCGTAATGCAGATTTTTAATGAGTTCCTTCATTGTGAGAAAAATTCAATAGAGATTTCTTTGTGATTTGGTAGGCAAATAGTTCTTGAGACACTTTTCTTTTTGTGTCACAGTGCTTGATTGATCATGAACGGAAATACGAAATCAAGTACCAATTCTGCCGTCTTGTCTGCAACTCTCGCGATCGCCTTGTGCAAATTTTTGGCAGCGGTCAGCCAGACGATCAAACTCCTCTCGTCCATCAAATTCTTTGGGATTCTTTCGCATACATCAGGATCCACCAAGCCCAAAAGACACAATCGTAATCCGTCTGATATGATGGCAGCAACATTCGTATTTGGGAATGTTCCTCTAGAAGTTTTCAGTGCATCCAAGATTTTGTTCCATGTCACAGTGTCGTAGTTCACCTGCAATTTTAAAATGGCGGATTGTGAAAAAAAATAATTCATTAAAGTATGCAGAAAATGTAAATCACTTTTAAAAGAACACTTTTTTTGAACATCTGGAAACAGATTGCGTGGAAGTTTCAAAAAAATGTTTTCCCGGTTCAACGAATCTGAATTTTATCTTCTGAAATATCGCTGTATTTCAATCAGAATACTGCATGATAAATTCGTTAAATTCATCAAAATACTACGGAACACAAAGACATCAGACAGGAATGATTTTTTCTCTGAAAAAAATACACACCCTGTAATACCCAGAACGTCGATTGTTGAACAGGACCCAATCGTCGTCACCGTCGATCGTCACTGTCGTCGAAGCTTCGGTCAAATATGTTTTCGGATTCTTGTCGTCGAAGTTGGGATTTGACGACGTGGCCCACGTCAACACAATTGGCCACAATGTGTCGTCATCGTGTTCGTTATTCGTCGCATTCAATAATCGTCTCTGCATTCAATAGAAATTATTAGTATTACAGTATTTTTTAATATTTATTCCCCATGTATTCTCTCGGGAAGAGTATTCTAAAATTTTAATGCAATATTGGCTCCAGCATGTAAATCATTTATGCGCTTATATAATTATGAAAAAAATTAATCATGGCGTTTGCGGAGAACGCATTTCATTTTAATATTCAAAATCCTATAATGCACATCTCATCGATCATCGAACGACATTCTGTTAACGAATCAAAATATTTTCTTCCGATTATCACATGATACAGGAGAAAGTTATTTCACTTCAGAGAAAGTGCATGTGTCGTCATTGTGATATTTTCGAAATTTATTTATCGTATTTTCTCTATTAATGATGACAATTTCTTCACCTGGGAAACTGAGTAAACGGATTTTCCGTTCACCTTGGCCCCAGTGTTGGTGACAGTCACCAAGGGAAATCCAGCCTGATTCGAAAACGGAGTGATCAATTCAGACACTGAATATTTCAGTCCTAGTCCTGCAGCTTCAGCAGCATTATTCAGAGCGCAGTGAAAAGATGTTCCTCTCTGACTGATTGAAATTGGTTATCAGCAAAGTAGTTCTTCATGCCTTCCATGAAGATTTCGTCTCCGAGCAGAAGGTACATCACTCTGCCAATATTACCACCTGGAAAACGACGAAAGATTACTTCCTGGTTACTTTTTGTTTATGTGAAGGGTGAATTGGGCGGAAAAATCTAACGTGGATCAAGGATTAACCGTTTGTCACATTCAATGATCACCAAATGGTGGGTATTTGCACACAACCAAAAAGAAAAAGAAGGATTTTTGTTGCAAATTCATATCTAATTTATCAATCACCCATTCATACTAATTAATACCTTCAAAATCCATACCTCTGTTTTTTTCAATTTGCACACACATATAGAAAATGCACAGTATGTTCTAAATTTGTATTATACCTCAACTGAATTATTTTCAAATATTATCATTCAATTATTTGGTTATTTGTTGAGCAGAATTTGTTCTCGTAAAATGTTCTACTGGCTTACAAATACTGTAAAAAATATGCAAGCTGATGAACTTACAATTTATGTAGCAGTTCATTCATGAATTTTTTTCCAGCAAGGCCATGAGGGCCAAAAAAACTTTCATTGCACTGGCAAAAAAATTATATATATATACTGTATATATCAGGAACATATTCAGGACACAAAATTATAGCAGCATTACAGGGACCTCAACATACAGAACGCAAGAAATCAATGTGAAGAGAGTCATTGTGCAAGTAGAATGTTTTTTACAGAAAAATTATTGCTGCACCTTTTTTCATCATCAGAATTGTTTGCTGAGGTTGTGATTCAAGAAATTTGCCTAAAATCCGTATGTCGTATATAATGAATTGTCATATTCTATTAAAATCCAATATATTCCTAGCAATAATTTTTTTACAATTAGAATTACACTTACTGGAACTTTTTTGACCGTGAATTGCTCAAAATTGTTTCGTATAAAGTAAACAATAATGTGCAGGCACTATACAGAAACTAGAATTTGCAAAAACAAAAGAAATTAAGACACCACGCAAGAAACTGAAATTAATTCTTCTAACCTCGATTATATATCAATTCTTCCGCAAACCCCGTGACAATATCAGCTGGCTCACTGATTGGTACAACCATTGGCGGTGCTGTGGGTTCCAAGTCGAAATCCATGGCATTATCCATCAGCTGGGTGCCCAACAAGTCGAGGTACGGGAAGCTTGGGTCAACCTAAATTCATGAAGTGCCAAATCCTGTCTCGATCAAAATTGAATGCGTGATGAAATATTGACACGACACAGTCATGCACACACACACACACACACACACTGACAGGATGAGTACGCTGACAACCAAATTAATTTAACATTCCTCCTACATCTACTTCAATGTCTCCTGCCGGTAAATTTAAAATGTCAAAAACGCTAAGTAGATGTCGCCATCACGAAGTCACAACAGCATCCAATGACGGTTAAACGAAACTAGTTATAGCGGATAATACATTACAACGGAATTGTTTTTTAGGTACCATGTCACATAGCCACAATCTGAACTCACTTACTTGGCAACAAATTTTTTTTCCAACCAAGTTGTTTTTTATTGGTCCCAATTCCCGAATAAATGTCTTCGTTGGAAATTTAGATTCTGTGGTATTTCTACCCGATTTGCGCGATTTCAAATCGGGATATCAGTATAATGAAATTCTCAGGCGACTTTCTTGCGTAATTCAATTCCGGGAGATCAGGCGAGAACGATCTCGTATTTAATTCTGCTGCTGCTAGATACACTTATAATCGGTTCAAATTAATTCGAGCACGGCTCGATTCTAAGGCGTTCACCTTGTGAAATTAATCATCAATTCGAAAGTTTACTTTTTCGGATATTAGGTAGGTGAAGAAGTGAGTCATTCCTTCGTTCAGCCAGGCAACATCCCACCACTGACACGTCACCAAATTTCCAGTCCACATGTGAGAAGTTTCATGTGCCATCAAAGTCAGGGACGCTGAACCGTCAATTCCGGCCACATCAGTTTCCCTGTACATTTTCGATTAAACAGCACAAAGATTTACATTTTTATAACTGCCGAAAAAATATTCCACACTCACGCATAAAATATGAGTCCATAGTTTTCCATGCCGCCATTAAAGCCGAAGACTCCCGCATGGTCGAGTTTCGGCAGTGGGAATGGAGTCGACAATCTAGCCAAAAATGCAATGACAGTATGTCAAAATAAATGTTCATATACTGGGATTTTTGGTTTTTTTTTGGGGGGGGACCCTGAGTTGCATTCTTTATTCATCACCTGGTCTCCATTTCGTTGAGGATCGTGGGAACGAAAACAGCGGCATCTCTGGTCAAGTTGGTGACCTCGTCTCTCACCAGGATGAATTGTCTCGGGTCACTGGTCGGCACTCTGGTGAAGTCTCCGACAATTATTGCTACCAGGTAGGTGGACATGACTACCGAGGTTTCGTGGTAGTCCCAAATGATATTCGGAGAAACAGAGCTGGAAATCGAACATGAAAACCTTGTACGTACTTGAAGTTTCTGCTGATGACTTTCTTCTTGTTCATGAGAGTCATTCAGTCGCACATTGAAGTTACATAAAAACATCAAAGTGGATATTTAATTAATTCGCAAAGGATCAGCATTCAATAATTTTTCTCCTGGTGCGGATTAGGAAAATCGAGCAGATTGAACACCTTATGATGAAATAGAATATTTGCACTCTGCAGCATATTCTCAGCATCCAAACTTCGGCAGCTTGAATTTTTAAAGTAATATGCCCACTACATCATCCTAACAACAATATAGTAAAATTATATAATCTGATCATTTATGATTTGATATATGCAGGTCTTTTCAAACTTTAGACAAAATCGCATTGAAGAAAATTCACTTGTGATGCTCAAGGAAAATTAATCTGAAAATTATGCTCCTCTTTCATTTCGTGGAATAAAGTGTGGTTCACAGCACTCATTTGTTCCACAACAATTGCCATTTTCTGCACTTGAAAATTTCAAGAACTCAAGTTCAGCACATTAAAAAATTTTTACAGAAAATTTTGACTTTTTCTACTCACTCCACAGCACTTTTAGTTATAGGCATGTTGGTGAAAGCATGGTACTTGTTTGGATGTCCAACAGTGATACTAAAGGTTGCTTTCAGTCCAGGTTCATCAAAGCAGGGGAACAAAGCTCTGGCAGAGGTCGGTTGAAGTTGAGTCCCAGCAAAATATCTTCAAAAAAAGTTGCATGAGCTCAGATGAGTTTGAAATTGGAACATCATTTTTTTATTTGGGGAAAATTTCATTTTAAAAATTTGTTATTGTTCTTTTCCTACATCCCAAAAAATTAGCTACACCTTGAAGGATTTGAGCGTCTTTATTGATGTGCTGTGTACAAGAACTGATGTTGCAAGCACAGGGCTACCAAAAATTTAGCTGCATATTGATGTGCCACAGTTCAGAAAAAAATCATTGATTTTTTTGAACATTGGAATACTTTTCAAAATTGAAACTTGATGATGGGACATATCTGAGCAAGTTTCTCTGATGTAACCCAAAATTTGAAAGATATCAAATAAGTTGAATACAGTATTTACAGAGTTACCTTGTACAATGAACATGATTTGTGCAACAGCTACATTTTTTTTGTGAATTGTTTGCACTACAAATCAAAATTCCCGTTAGACCTTCATTGGAGATTTTTCAATTTTTTCCAGCTTTCCCAACACTCTCACATGACAGGACAGCGCATCTCAGTGTGACACTGTCATCACATGCAACCATTAAAATTATGACACTGCTTCATATGGTACCATTGTTGTATTTGACAATGGTGTATCAGTGTCATGGCAGCATGGTTTCTTGTGATGACAGCTTCACAGCTTTGAGGTACCATTGTCACTGGTGACAACAGTTAATAAAGCACCTTAAAATCATGAGTGATGACAGTTTGAGTGCACATGATGATGGTGCAAAAACATTGTGTTTGTTGCAAAAATGAACAGCAGAATGCAATTTGTCACACTAAATTTAAGAACCCAAATTCTTAGATAACTTGTCATCATTCATCTCTGTGTGAACAGAGATGACCTTAGTTCACACATGTCAGGCCGGTAACTGACAAAGGGTTCAAGGAAAAGTTAAGAATTAGCTCAGCCATGGATTTTGGGCCTCAGAGTGGGAGCCATACACAAACACTCATCTCTTATTCAGAGAAGGTTTGTGCCTATAGGCATCCCAGGCTCATCACAAGTCCCCTGGATTCCCATCAGCATCACCAAAGATCACCACACAGACAACAGAAGCGGAAAATGATTGGCTCAGGAGTGAGAACAGAATGTAATGACTACTTGGAAAAGACTGATTGACTGTGCATACTGCACAGCCCTTTTATACAGGCCAGAATAACCCTGGGATTGAGCCAAGTGCAACCTAGTTGACCCTGGCTAAATCCAGTGTCTTGGCAGGTTTTCCACCCAGCCAAAGTTGACCCTTGAGGGCCAAAAAGTTGTTTTAGGGCGCAGCATAGCACATCCAACCACTTGGGCTTTCCTTTGGGGCGCAGTGTGTCCCGCTACACAAGCTGTGGTGCAGGAAGAACTCCATCATGCTTGTGCAAAATCAAAGGTTGCACCCCAATTTAGTACAAGTGAGTGTGAGTGTTGAGAGGGATCTGAACTGGAGAGAGTAAAACTTGACAATTGGTTGGTGCGCAACCAACCTGAGGGATTCAAAATCCCAAAATAAGTGCACAATGTATTTATCCAATTTACAAGTATAGGCATAAAATAACAGTGTGAATATCAGCAACATTTTCAGTTTTCAATTCTCACAAGGGAAAAAACACAAGAGCTTGTAAACATTGCTTTCAGGCAACTGCAAGATGTTTGTCTGATGTGGTCTCTGCTTGGAAAAAGTCTGATGATGATTTTGGGACTTTTGGTCCCATTTATACCTGTGCAAAATAATTGGCATGGTGTGCCAATACTATCCAGAGAAGCGGTTGCTGGTAGTTCTTAAGAAGGTGATTGGTAAATCACCATCTCTTTGAGAAAAAGAGAGGATATGTCCCATCACCATGTTTCAATTTTGAAAAGTATTCCAATGTTAAAAAAAATCAATGATTTTTTTCTGAACTGTGGCACATCAATATGCAGCTAAATTTTTGGTAGCCCTGTGCTTTCAACATCAGTTCATGTACACAGCACATCAATAAAAACGTTCAAATCCTTCAAGGTGTAACAATTTTTTGAGATGAAGAAAAAGAACAATAACAATTTTTTTAATTGAAATTTTCCCCAAATAAAAAAATAATGTTCCAATTTTAAAATCATTTCAGCTCATTCAACTTTTTTAAAGATATTTTGCTGGGACTCAACTTCAACCAACCTCTGCCAGAGCTTTGTTCCCCTGCTTTGATGAACCTGGACTGAAAGCAACCTTTTGTATCACTGTTGGACATCCAAACAAGTACCATGCTTTCACCAACATGCCTATGACTAAAAGTGCTGTGGAGTGAGTAGAAAAAGTCAAAATTTTCTGTAAAAATTTTTCAATGTCCTGAACTGGAGTTCTTGAAATTTTCAAGTGCAGAAAATGGCAATTATTGTGGAACAAATGACTGCTGTGAACCACACCTTATTCCACGAAATGAAAGAGGAGCATAATTTTCAGATTAATTTTCTTCGAGCATCACAATTGAATTTTCTTCAATGCGATTTTGTCTAAAATTTGAAAAGACCTGCATATATCAAATCATAAATGATTAGATTATATAATTTTACTATATTGTTGTTAGGATGATATAGCGAGCATATTACTTTAAAAATTCAAGCTGCCGAAGTTTGGATGCTGAGAATATGCTGCAGAGTGCAAATATTCTATTTCATCATAAGGTGTTAAATCTGCTCGATTTTCATAATCCACACCAGCAGAAAAATTATTGCATACTGATCCTTTGCGAAATAATTAAATATCCACTTGGATGTTTTTATGTAACTTCAACGTGCGACGGAATGACTATCATGAACAAGAAGAAAGTCATCCGCAGAAACTTCAAGTACGTACAAGGTTTTCATGTTCGATTTCCAGCTCTGTTTCTCCGAATATCATTTGGGACTACCACGAAACCTCCGTAGTCATGTCCACCTACCTGGTAGCAATAATTGTCGGAGACTTCACCAGAG